CCATATCAACAGGGTGCCTGAATGAAACTCAATTGTATACCTAACCCTTAACTGTACCCCACAACTTCATAATAAAAAAATAAATAAATAATTTTTTTTTTAAAAAGCAGAAATTTGTTGGGTGTCAGTAAGAAAAGGACCAAGAGCCAGGCAGAGTGGCTTGGGCCTATAGTCCCAGCTACTCAGAAGACTGTTGGGTGGGGAGGGGGGAGGAAAGGATCCCTTGAGCCAGGAATTTGAATTCAGCCTAGCCTGGGCAACATAGTAGACCCCGTCTCAAATAAAAAAGAAGAAGAAAAGAAAAAGACTAAAACTAAGAATAAGTTCTCTTGGACAGATTGCTAATTTGCACAGAATTTGGATTTTGAAACGTTTTCACAGGTATATCAGGGAGATTTTAGTCAGACTACATATTTTCCTGTTACTGATTCACTCTAAGGGACTCAGAGCTTCTGGGAAAGTAGTCAAGAGAGTCAAGGAGTTCAGAGCTGCCAACTAGAGACAATGAGCCCATCATGATGCCATGTGAGGCAAAGTTTGTGAATTCCTGTAGACAGAGTCTCCAGGTCAGGGGAGCATGCTCTCTGACTCTGACTAAGACTTATGGTGGTCAGCGCTTTTGTTGAAGAGTGGCTGCTTCTTGCTGGCTGGGCCGCCAGACCATTGTCCAGGCATAGGATTCATTCCCAGAGACCCAGTGGGGAGAGAGGATGAGGCATACTCCTTCTTTATAAGGGCCTGGGGCTCCAAGAACCTCGGCTTCATGATAAATCTGATACAAGATTGTGGGAGAAGCTTTTTTCATTTCACAGTGAAGTTCTACCACATTCTACACAGCATCCTGTTTGCTAGGGCCCCGAGGGTGTGGAAAGGATGTGTCACTGGGACTGAGAGAGACAACAGGCTGATCAGGGAGTAACCCTGCACATCCTTGGGGACTTGTCAAGAGACATGGCCCTAGATCAGCCCCAGTTGTAACATCCTGTTTGTTCTGACTTTATTCCCAACAGACATTTCACTTAATCAGAAGAAATTTGCAAATAGGAGGACTTCTGGAATATGCCAAATGACTGAGTATATTATCTAATCTCTATTTCTAAGAGTTTCCAAAAATTCTCACTGACCACAAACCCTTCTATTTCTGACTCCTCCTGCTGATCTAACTCCTGATAGGTTATTCACAGTATTGAATGACTGGTAACTGCTAATATCTATACTCCTACCCACTTGCCTTGTGGTCTTCACTAAGAATCCCTCTGTGAAGTTTGACATTCCTCAGATGATCTTTGATAGAATGTACCTTTCACGTGTACGGTCACTGGTTTGCTGTGAAAGTAGCGGTTCTTGTTTTTGACAGCACAGAAATATTCTCCAGCATCGCTGCTTCTCACGCTGGAGATCTTTAATCTTGCTTCTGGAGAACTCTGAATACGTGTTCCCTTGCCCAAATTGTTAACTATTTTGTACCAGAAGATTATGACGGATCCTGTGACTCCATGGACTGAGCAGATGAACACCAGTTCCTGCCCTTCAAACACTGACCCTGAGGCTGGGAAAGTGCGTATTTGGACCTTGACATCAACACCTAAATCAATAAAAAAGACATATGAGACTCTTGTCAGTGAAGTGCTCATGTATGGAAGAGAGTCACAAGTTGGAAAAGACTAAATCTGCTGATCATATGTGAAAAGTTGACCTGGGCTGGAATTGGGCTTGTCCTTGGGAAGAAGGAGGAAGTGATGGAGAGACAGTGCACTCTAATGATCTCATGGACTGTCTTGGACAAAAAAATAGAAACAATCTTGCTCACCCTACCCTCATCTCCACTTATCCCCTGAGAGAGCACAGCCAACCCAATAGCTGGGGAAAGTGGTGAGAGTGAGAGGCGATGGGACAGGGAGGCTTAGCATCAAAGGTGATTGTCCCACAGTGACCTCAAGAGCTAGTTGGAAATGAAATTTTGGGTTAGCTTGCCCTTGAGCAGAAACTCATTAACCCCTTTAGTGTGTCAGTAAAATGTCCAAAGAAGGTGGGGCCAGGACAGTCCAACTAAGTAGAAAATCTGTGATGAATGCATCCTACATCCGAGATGGGCATGGTTTCCTTAATGATGTTGGCTTAGGACCTTGCCTTCTTGAGTCATCCTGGAGTCTTGAAGAACAAAGGAAGACAATTGAACAGGGGGGTAGAAAAGCATGAGGTTGGGGCTTCATTAATTATGCTGAAGGAGATCCTATGCTAGGAATTATTGTGTTGCCACTATTAGGTAACACTCTCTCCATCTTTTCTGAATTATCTTTTCTTATACCAGTGATCAAAGAAAGACCTGTTACTTGTAATTGCAGAATGAAAGATTAATAAATATAGTCAGTTTAGAAAAAATGGAGCCTTTTTGTGCTTTTGGGGGGGCTCAGAATGGGAGTAAATTTGTGTGAAATACTACCATTTTCAATCTCTCCTCACTCAGGAAACCTGTGAACCCCAGACTATGTGTTCCTTCCTAATGTTTGAATAGATTTACTATGGGACAGATGAAATTTAATCAGAGGACTTGGCCATTGGTTAGCAGTCATGCTTGAGGACCTATACAATTTTAGAAATGTAGGAAAAGGTAATAGTGGGTACACCACCATCCCTTGTGATGTCAAGTTGGGACCATTTATTTCTCCAACTTTTGTTCTTTGGTTTTCTTATTCTTACGTGCTCTGCTGCAGGCTCCTAGCATTTTAGGAGTCTATCCATCTGGCTGAGCAGAGGCCATTCAGTCCACTTAGAAGACTCTGCTGCAACCTACAGCTTATACCTATGGGCCTAGCAGGAAAGTGAAACATATGTCAGGGGAGAGGGACCTCTGAGAGAAAAGAAAGCGTTCTATCTAATGGCATTGAAAGAAAAAAATGAACCTGTCTTTCTTTTCTTGGGCTTTTTTCTGATTTTAAGCTTTTCTACAATGTCCATAGTTGTCAGGGTTTTCTTGTTCACACCGCTCACATTCTTACAGGCATAAGAAATTCTTTCCACCTGGACAGGTGACCCCAGATGATGTGCAGTTCTGCCCTGCTCTTCCAGCCCTATCCCCAGCAAATTTCATAACCCATTGACACTCACTCTGCACATGTATCATGAATCTTGGGCTCTGTTTTCTGACCGTGTGAGTCACTGTCTCTGCCTCACACCAGTAGAACCCTGAGTCTTCAGTCCACACAGCAGTGATCCAAAGTGTGTGGGAGCTGCTCCATCCAGACCCCAGGGTCTGTCTTTCTCTGAAGAAGCGGAACTGGAGCTGGACATTTGGCCTTTCTGGAGGAAGCTGAGTCTTACAGGTCAGGGTCATGGAACTCCCATCCATGAGCAAGAAAGGGCTAGCTGTCAGCTCGGGACGAGGAAACAGTTCTAGAGAGAAGAATCACAACAGTGTCCAAGCAATGAGACTGGGAATTGCAGTGGGGAAAAACACACTTCACCCTCACACGAGAACACACAAAAGCAGGTGAAGAAAGGGAAGCCACCAATTTATAACTTCCTTTAGTCCAAAGAACTGTTGTACTTCCTCTGGTCCTCTCAGGAATGCAGCCTGAGGTTCAGTGGTATTCCTGCCCACACTTTCCTTCCTGCTCTACCTCTCCCACCCCAGGGACACTCCTGTTGACCAATCCACTTCACAAAATAATGAAGACTTTACCTTGGACTTCAATGTTGACTCTGTTGGAAATAACGGAGCAACACTTTTCCTTAGATCCAATACAGTAATATACGCCATTGTCCTTCAGACTTGCATTATGAATATAGAAGTTTGAGTTTTTATTAAGGGATGCCAGGACTTCATCATTCTTCTTAATAGTTTTTGGTGCTACACCAACCTTTGCCTGGCACCTCAGAACCACAGAATCTCCTTGAAACACAGAAAGTGGAGCCTGCAGGATCAGCAAAGCTATGGGAAACACAGCACCAGTTACTTGGGTCATCCTATTCCATTGTTTTGGGGGTTTTTTTTTTAGTTGGAGTCTCACTTTGTCACCAAGCTGGAGGGCAATGGCATGCTCACGGCCACTGCAGCCTTGATCTGCTGGGCTCAGGCGATCTTTCCACCTCAGCCTTCCAAGTAGCTGGAACTACAGGCATGCATCACTATCACCACGCCCGGCTAATTTTTTGACTTATAGAGATGAGTTCTTGCCAATTTGCCCAGACTGGTCTTGAACCCACGGGCTTAGGCAATCCTCTCACCTTGACCTCCTAAAGTGCTGGAATTATAGGCGTGAGCCACTGCACCTGGCCTAAGTCTTCCTATCATTGTAAGGGAACAACCTATTGTTTCTCCCTTCCTTTCAGTATTATTCTAAGTAGATTTTATAGAAAAAGTGTACGGGAGAAAGGATTATTAAAATGATGAATTCTTTTTTTTACTGATTTAAAATGAACACGTGACGAGAAAAACTGAAAAGCAGAAATGTAGGTAAAAATCACCTATTATATCATCACCCATATTTTAGCATATGTTTTTCCAGTTTTGTCTTCCATGTTTTTATATTTGAGAGGTTGTGTATATTTTTTTTCTTTTCATGGGACAGGAATAATACTTATAGATTTGATAGCTTGCCTTTCACTTACTATGCTATGAATACTTCCCTATATCATTAATATCATTACTGAACCTGATTTTCAATGGCTACAAAGTTTTCCTTCAATGGCAATAACATTATTTATTTAATGAGTCTTCTCTTCTTGACCATTTTCATGGGTCCTCTATTTTTTGGAGACACATGTTTATGATTGTTTCAGTAAGTAAATTCTTAAGGGATTGTCAGGTCAAAAAGCATAAGCATTTTATTTGCTCTTTGCTACTGAACTCCATCCTTATTCACTAAATTAAAAGATTTTATAACTAGATGACATGGGTTCAACTTAAAAACAAGTAGTTTTGAGACAGAAAAGAAAATGCTTCTTCCTTTATTTCTCTTTCTGTAGCTCTATCTATCATCTATTATCCATCTACCTATCACCTATTGATGTCTATAAATATGAAAAATCCAGTTGGACTCGGTGGCTCAGCCTTTAATCCCAGACTTTGGGAGACCGAGGCGAGTAGATTGCCTGAGCCTGTGGGTTCGAGACCTACCTGGGCAACTTGGTGAGACCTCATCTCTACAATAAATCAAAAATTAGTCGAGTGTGGCAGTGTGCGCCTGTAGTTCTGGCTACTTGGAAGGCTGAGGTGGAAGGATCACCAGAGCCCAGCAGGTCGAGGCTGCAGTGGCCGGGAGCAGGCTACTGCACTCCAGCCTGGGTGACGGAGAGAGACATCAACTCAAAAAAAAAAAAAAAGAAAAGGAAAAATCCTCATGTATTTATTATTCCAAATAAATTATGTGACTTAAAACTATACACAGACTCACAAGAATGTATCAAAAAACAGGAAAAAAACTCCTAAAACACCAAAAGGACCTAGCTCTGTAGACGATATTAAGGCAAAAATGGAAGCATGTATAGAAAAAGGTGGTTCTCTTCCCAAGGTGGAAGCCAAGTTCATCAATTATGTGAAGAATTGCTTTCAGATGACTGACCAGGAGGCTATTCAAGATCTCTGGCAGTGGAGGAAATCTTTTTAAGAAAATAGTTTTAACAGTATGTTTAAAGTTTTCCGTCTTATTTCATTTCTGTGACAGTTACTATCTGGCTGTCCTTTTTATAATGCAGAGAACTTTCCCTACCGTGTTTGATAAATGTTGTCCAGGTTCCATTGCCAAGAATGTGTTGTCCAAAATGTTTGTTTAGTTTTTAACTCCACCCTTTGCTTGGTTTTAAGTATGTATGGAATGTTATGATAGGGCATAGTAGTAGTGGTGGTCAGACATGGAAATGGCAGGGAGACAAAAATATACATGTGAAATAAACTCAGTATTTTAATAAAGTAAAAAAACCTATACACAGATTCAGGATCCCTTCAAATAAATTGCTCCTCAAATTTTATTTTACCTGAGAAGCTTATAAAAAATATAAATTCCTGGGACCCACTCCTATGGATTTTGATTCTGTTAGTATAGGGTCAGTTCTGAGTTTATGCATGATTAAAAAGCTTACCAGGTTGTCTGACTCAAATCAAACTTTAAAAACCACAGGTTTAGAGACGTCAGTTCACTCAGTGGAAATTGCAGTGTTTGTGGGGTTCCTCCACATAACCTGTAGCTGTTATGTAGGACAATTATGTCCTTCTGGAGGACTTGAAGTCACTGTCTCTTGGACTGAATTAATTTATTAAATTTTCTTCATTATTGTTTAAACTTAAGAAGCTAATTCCATTCCCTATCTGATTATCTACAGAGCTCTCTTGTTCTCCTGTCTGTCTAACCACAGTGTGAAATAGAATTGTCTGTGAGTTGTCTTAAGTGAATAGGAGTAACCACTAGAGAGGAAAATGGAGTAAAATGATGTCTAAAGTTTGTATTTCTTTCATTCTTTCTCACCTGAAGAAAAGACCAAGTGTACAGAGTTACTTATTAATGAGCCCTGGGTCTGACATCTGTACTTTCCAGATTCATGGACCTCCAGGGTGTTTCCTCTTTGTATTTCTTCCCCATGGTATGATCGGTACCATGTTGTTTTCTCTGGTACATAAAGGTGAAATCCATTGCAAGTTAGAGTCACTTTCTCTCCTTGGAAGACTGTGGTCCATGGAGGATTGAGGGAAATCACAGATTTGTGTGAAGGTGCTGAGAAAGGGAAGATAAATGGGTCAGAGACAGAGGTGCCTACAATTCCAGTTGTAGTTCCTGTTGCAAAGACTGGAGGACCTGGCTTTGGAGACTCCTCAAGAGGCCCTTAGGCAGGTCACTCAACACTCAAAGCTATGTGTCAGCCAATGGAGCTCACTTCACCCAAAAGAGAGATTGCTCAGGGGATGTCAATGAACAAAATGATTTCTGGAAGGTAATACCAGCAGGATTCACTGTCAAATGTTACTGGTTAGGAAGCCTATCATGGAGGTGGATCCTACAGAAAATCATCTCTGCCTTGCCATTTCATTATGTTCATAAATTCATGAGAACCTCCAAAAGTGCCATTAAAAATCACAATTTTGCACTTTCTCTGAAAGAATAAATCAAATGATCATAAGGTTTGGCACTGAGAAAGCCTGAGAGATCAACTTTCCTAATGCCTTCATTTTATAAGATGATGGTTCAAATGTCCAGAAAAATTCCATGATAGCTAATTGTGGCAGAACAAGAAGTAGACCAAATCATTGGCTGACATCCAGAGGTGACCTGGACAAGGCTACAGGTACGGCAGCTGATTTCAGACAAAGAGAGGGACTGAAGAGGGTTGTTGTAATTCATGGGTCCTCGAATATCCTGTCTGACTCAGAAGAATAACAGTAAGAGTCAGAAATAAGTAAATGTGTGATACAGATAACTTGTCTCCTCCCCATCTCTCCTTTATGTGTTCCCCCTGCTTGTAAGGGCCCAGTTGTTGCATGTTCTTCTGCTCCCCACACATTTCTTGGAGAATTTTACTCCAAAGTTGTAGAGAATGAGATATTCCTGCTGGCATCACCACAGTAGGATGTTTTCTGAGGGGTTTTCTTGGTTTGTTGAGTGGAGAGGATCCTATCCTGGGTCCTGCACAATTGCCATGGAATTGAAAATGTCCTGCCTGGCTAAGTGGGGTCCATATGGGTTAATAAATGCAATTGTGAATACAGGGTCCAGCAAAGACCAGGAGTTCCTTGTATATTTACCACCTTGCCCAGGCAGGGTCAGAGGGTGACCATGATGTATCCTGACCCTTGGGTGAGGCCAAGAGACCAGGAAACACTTTCACATCCCTTGGCAAGAATCTGGCCTTGGCAAGAAAACAGGAGATATTAGGTATTCTCAGGCAGTCATCTCAAATGTTTCATATTTCTTTAGAAAGGCACTAATATCCAGAGACACTGAAGAGCCAAAGAAAGGTGAACTCACCAAATTGTCCATTGATAGGAGCTGCAAAAATAGAACCAAAGATGAGAACAGATTAAGATTAAGGGTTCTTTGACTCTTCAAAGATATCTGTTTATTTCTATCCATTTATTATGTCTTCCATTAAGCAAGTCTCAATAAATTTTAAAACTTCAAAATTATACCAAGCATCTTCTCAGATCACAGTGCAATAAAATTAGAAGTCAATACTAAGAGATACTCCCCAAACTATACCACTATGTGAATTTTTTTTTTTTTTGAGTTGATGTCTCACTCTGTCGCCCAGACTGGAGTGCAGTGGCTGCTCCTGGCCACCACAGCCTCGACCTTCTGGGCTCCAGCGATCCCTCCGCCTCAGCCTTCCAAGTAACTGGAACTACAGGCGCGCACTACCACGCCCAGCTAATTTTTTGATCTATTGTAGAGATGAGGTCTTACCAAGTTGCCCAGGCGGGTCTCAAACCCGCGGGCTCAGGCAAGTCACTCACCTTGGCCTCCCAAAGTGCGGGATTACAGGCTTAGCCACCGAGCCCGGCCCACTATGTGAAAATTGAACAACCCACTCTTGGAAGACCCTTGGGTGAACAATGAAACTAAGGAAGAAACTTTTAAAAAAATTATTGAAATAAATGAAAATAGTGGCACAACATACCAAAACCTCTGGGACACAGCAAAATCAGTTCTGAGAGAAAAGATTATAGCATTAAATGCCTACATCATAAAGACAGAGAAATCAGAAATTAACAGCTTAATCTTGCACCTAAAGGAACAAAAATAACAAAAAAAACCCAAGAACAGTCTAAACGTAAAGCTAGCAGAATAAATAACAAAGGTCAGAACAGAGCTAAATGACATTGAGGCCAAAAAAAAAAAAAAGTGATACAAAGGATCAATGAATCAAAAAAGTTGTTTTTGTGAAAGGATAAACAAAACTGGCAGGCTCCTAGCTAGACTAACCCAGAAAAAAAGTGAAAATTCAAATAAATTTGATCAGCCAGGTTTGGCGGCTCAGCCTGCAATCCCGCGCCTTGGGAGGCTGAGGTGAGTGGATTGCCTGAGCCGGCGGGTTCGAGACCCGCCTGGGCAGCGAGACCTCATCTCTACAATAAATCAAAAAGTCAGCCGGGCATGGTAGTACATGCCTGTAATTCTGGCTACTTGGAAGGCTGAGACGGAAGGATCGCTGGAGCCCAGCAGGTCGAGGCTGCGGTGGGTGGGAGTGGCCTCTGCATTCCAGTCTGGGTGACAGAGTGAGACTCCAACTCAAAACAAAACAAAACAAAACAAATAAATTTGATCAGAAATGATAAAGGTGACACAACAACCAGCACCACAGAAACAAAAAAGATCATCTGGGACTACTATGAACATCTCGATGGTAAGAAATTAGAAAATCTAGAGGAAATGGATACATTTCTGGAAACATACAACCTTCCAAGACAGAACTAGAAAAAAATAGATATCCTGAATAGACAAATATCAAGCAATGAAATTGAATCAGTAATAAAAAAAAATTCAAAAAAAAAAAAATGCCCAGAGTCAGACAGATTCACAGCCAAATTTCATCAGACATACATAGAAGAGATGGCACCAATCCTACTGAAACTACTCCAAAAAATCTAGGAGAGGAGACTCCTCCCCAACTCATTCTATGAAACCAGTATCACACTGATATCAAAATCAGGCAAGGACACACACAACCAAAAAAAAAAAGAAAACTAAAGCCTATTTCTCAGATAAATATAGATGCAAAAATCCTTAACAAAACACTTGCAAACCAAATTCAACAGCATATAAAAAAAATTGTTCATCACAACCAAGTGGGTTTTATTCCAGGGATGTAAGAATGATTCAATATCTGTAAACCAATAAACATGATACACCACATAAACAGAAGCAAAAATAAAAACTATATGATCATCTCAATTAATGCAGAAAAGGCATTAGACAAAATTCAACATCCTTTCATGATAAAAACCCCTCAGTACACTGGGTATTGAAGGAACATATCTTTAAAAAATAAGAGTTATATATGGCAAACCAGCAACCAGCATCATACTGAACTGGGAAATGTTGAAAACATTTCCACCTCAGAACAGGAACAAGATAGGGATGTCCACTCTCACCAGTCTTATTTAACTTAGTACTGGAAATCCTTGCAGGAGCAATCTGGCAAGATAAAGAAATAAAAGGTATCCAAATTGGCATGGAGGAAGTCACACTATTCCTAGTCATGGATGATTGAATATCTCAAAAACCCTATAGACTCCTCCAAGAAGCTTCTAGACCAGATAAATGACTTCAATAAAGTCTCAGTATACAAAATCAATGTACAAAAATTGGTCGGATGTTTCTATACACCAACAATGCTTAAGATGAGAACCAAATAAAGAGCTCAATCCCAATCACACTAGCCACACCCACAAAAATAAAATACCTAGGAATACACCTAACTAAGAAAGTAGAAGACCTTTACAGGGAGATTCCAAAACACTGACAAAAGAAATCATAGATGACACAAACAAATGATGAAGTATCCCATGTTCATGGATTGAAAGAATCAATATTGTTAAAATGACCATACTGTCCAAAGCAATCTACAGATACAATGCAATCCCAATCAAAGTAGCAACTTTGTTCTTCACAGGACTAGGGCAAAAAAATCTTAAAGTTTATATGGAATTAAAAAGAGCCGGAATAACCAAGGCACTTCTAAGCATAAAGAACAACTGTAGAGGTATCATACTGACTGACTTCAAATTATACTATAAGGCTATACAAATTAAAACAGCATAGTATCAGTATAAGAATAGACAGATTGACAAATGGAACAAAATAGGGGAACCCACTCTAAAACCACATTCCTCCAACCACTGAACTTTGACTAAGCCAACAAAAATAAACAATGGGGGAAAGGAAACTCTATTCAGTAACTGGTGCTGGGAAAATTGGCTAGCCATATGCAGAAGAATGAAACTGGACCCATATCTCTCACCATATACAAAAATTAACTGAAGATGGATCAAAGACTTAAATGTAAGACCTGAAAATATTAAAATCCTAAAAGGAAACCTAGGAAACACTCTTTTGAACATTGGCTCAGGCAAAGAATTTATGACAAAGACTCCAAAAGCAATCATAACAAAAACTAAAATAGATAAATGAGACATAATTAGACTACAAGACTTCTGCACAACAAAAGAAATAATCAAAAGAGTGAAAAAAAAAACCTACTGAATGGAAGAAAATATTTGCAAATTATACCTCAGACAAAGGGCTAATATCCAGAATCTACCAAAAACTCAAACAACTTAACATGAAAAACCAAATACCCCATCAAAAAGTGGGCAAAGGACATGAATAGACACTCCCCAAAAGAAGATACACAAGCAGCCAACAAGCATACGAAAAAATGCTCAACATCACTAATCATCAGAGAAATGAAAATTAAAACCGAAATCAACAAAACCCTTCCTGGGAAGAAAATGCCGGGAGAGACTGTTTAAGCGGGGGCTCGTGAGCAAGTGGCCAGGCCCCTGGTGCGACAGCTGGTGCTGAAGCTTCTCTGCTTGGTACCTGGCTCTTCCCAGGTCACAGAAGATGAGTGCCATTTTTTTTTAATGGACAAAAGTTTTTCAGAGAAGTAGCGATGGGGAGAGACCATCGCCCCAGGCTCTGCCTCACCATTGCAGCAGGAGAGACTGTCAGCTCCAGGCTTTGCCTCACCACTTCAGCATCTAGCAGGGCATTAGTGGGCAGCAAGGACTGTGGAGGGAGTCCAGAGGCAAAATCCAATGGAAGAGGACAAGAAAGGCACCCCACTATCATCCTGAAGGTGGGGCAGGAAAGTTCTCCGGCTTGCTCACCATGGAGCAACAAACCCAATCTCTGTGACGGGTGGATCAACTACTCAGGGATTGATCGTGACCCGGAAGGAATATCCTGAAAGCACAAACTTTGGAGGGGCATGACAAGTGCTGATTTCCAGGCACCCCACCCCCTACCCTGATCCAGCCGCAGGACAAAGGGTGAGGCCAGAAAAGGATGAGGAAGGACTCCAAGGAGATCAGTGGTGAGTCTGGGGCTGACCCAAACCCCCTCCTCCCCAACAATCCTCTGAACTTCAGACCTACATAGTTGGGCCATGACTGAGAAGGACAAACCCAGGTGAAGCATGGACGTCAATTGCAATAGGAGAACTCCATTCCAGGATAGGCCTGGCTGGGCACCTCCTTTCCCCCACCCCAGTACATACCTGGGGAAGAGGCAATCCCGCAACTCCCCACTGGAGGAGATCTCCCTAACCATACCAGAGTGGGAGGGGAGGACTGAAGCCCCACCCATCTCCACTGCCCCTCCTCCTTCCCTGCTCTTCACACAGAGTGAAAGAGGTGACTGTGCAGGAGAGACCTGATTAGAGGAACAATTGCAGAGCCTGCCACAAGAGGGCAGGATTTTTTTTTTAATTTTTAATTTTTTTGATTTTTAAAAATTGTTTGACTATTTGTTAGTTCATCTAGTTTTGAAATATTTTTTCTTTGTGCATGAATGTGTATGTGAGAGTTTGATCTGCATCTCCCCTGAATTTTTTTCTTTTCTTTTTCTGTTTCTTTCTTCTTTTATTTGTCGTTTTCTGTTTATGTGTGTATTGAATGATTGAGTGTCCATCTTTCAATTTTGTCGTTGTTGTGGTGTTTGTTTTTTTTTTTCTCTTTTGATCTTCTGGGTTTTTTATTTTCATTTTTTATAGTTTAAGGTGTATGTCAATATCAATATATGTGTGAGGGTTCAATCTGAATTCCTTTTTTTCCCCCAGTCTTTCTGCTTTTCTTCTCTATTCACTTTGTACTAGGCATGTGTATGTGTATCTAGTTTTCTTGGTATTTTGTTGTTGTTTGTTTTGTTTCACTTTGCTGTTATTCTAGCTTGTTTTGGGATGTGTGTGTATGTCAGTGTGTGTGTGTGTGTGTGTGTGTGTGTGTGTGTGTGTGTGTGTGTGTATTCAGTTGTTTTTTGCATTGGTTTCTGTTTTGCATCATCATATAGAGTGGTGGTGGGGAGTGGGTCTCAGGAAACACATATTACAATAAGTGAACATTGCAATTTTCAAGTAGTTTCTGAATCCTAGCGCCCCATCCCCTACTTTATTCAAAGTTCAAAAACTACAAGAGACATCAAAGTTTCCCATCCACTGCCCTATTTGAAAACAGAACAAATTCAGAGCCCAGATCGGAGAAGAATAGAGGACTGTGCAAACATCAGAAGGGAAAGCCTCTCCCACTGATACCTAATAACAGAACTAAAGAGAAAAACAAGAGACCTGTCACAAATGAGGAAAAACCAAAGGAAGACCTCAGGCAATTTCAAGTGTACTAAAGACAAAACTCCTGAAAAATCAGACCTTGGTGCCCAAACAATGGAAGTCACCAATGACTGACCCCAGGATACAACAGGGATTAGGAAATGGATGGAAAGCATGAATAAGACTCAGGAAAGAAAGGATGTAACACTGAAAGAACTAGTAACAGAGATTTTGGCAATAAAAAATTTCATCCAGGAAATAAATAACAAGATGACAAGCATGGAAAGCAGAATTAATCTAGCCAAAGAAAGAATCTCAGAACTTGAAGACCAGAACATGGAATTAGGCCAATCTATAAAAAAACATAGAAATAAGACTGAGAAAGAACAAAGCCTACAAGAGATATGCGATTATAACAAGAGGCCGAATCTATGCCTGATGGGTATCCTAGAAGATGAAAGGGAAATGGAGAACAACTTGGAGCAAGTATTCCAGGAGGTAATCCAAGAAAATTTTCCCTATCTCACCAGAGATGTGAACAGTCAAGCACAAGAGATATAGAGAACCCCCACAAGACATAAAATGAGAAGACCAACCCCTAGACACATACTAATTTGCCTACACAAAGTAGGCACAAAAGAAAAAAATCCTAAAGGAAGCAAGAGGGAATGGTCACACTACTCACCAGGGAAAACCAAGCAGAATGACAGAAGATCTATTGGCAGAAGCACTACAAGTAAGAAGGGACTGGAGTCCTATATTTAAAGTCCTCAAAGAAAAGTAATTTCACCAAGAATTTCCTATTCAGCCAAGCTCAGCTTCATCAGTGATGGAGAATTAAAATCCTTCCCAGACATCCAATCTCTAAGAGATTATGCAGCTTCCAGATCAGCTCTATAGAAGATACTTAAAAAGGTATTAAGCACAGAAGAAAGAAAAAAAAAGAGAACAGCAGAGCACAGAATCAACAGAGAATACAACACAAGAAACTTGAAAACACACACATATGCCAGTGAAAGGCAGTCAAAGTCTAGCAGTGAGTAAGAGACATAACATCTCTGTCCACATGAGACTGATGGAAGAGTTATCCAAACCGAAGTGTTGTATTGAGAACAATGGGCTATTTACCGTTATTATCATTACCTAGATATATTGACCTCTCTAGCCTTTGTATTGTTTCAAATGCAGCTAATATTTTTCTAAGTGTTTTCTATATGGCATACATTTACAAACATTATTTCATATAATCATGCCAATAACCTTATGTGGTAAATACTAAAAGTAGCCCCGTTTCACACACCAGAAAACCAATTAAGTAACTAGCAAGTGGCAGGATGAATTTTGAACCCAGATCCTGTTGAATCCCAGAATGCATGCTCCCAGCCACTACCCAACCTGCCCCTCTGTGTTGGTGCCACTCTGGAGTGGCTCCCATCTCTGGAACAATAGTCCATGCACCTTCCCACGGTGGAGTCCTCTTTTCTTACGTCATGCCCTCTCCATTCCTGCTCCTCCAGGTCCTACTCACCTCTAAGTTTCATGAAGTCTTTGCCAGCTCTTTGGCAGATAGTTTATATCTGTCTGCACTGTTCATAGATAACTTTGCAATTATTCAGCAGGATCTTGCATAGCTGTTCCTTGTGCATTGGCCTTGCTGGGAGCCCTTCTATGTCATCCTAAGCACAGAAATGGTGGACTCCCCTTGCTCTTAGCACCCGGTACAGTGCTGGGCATCGATCTTACAAAAAAATAACTTGCTGAACAAATGAATAAACATATTTAATTCTAATATTAAAGTCTTGGTAAATAAAAAAGCAACAACAAAAAACAGCAGTTCATGCGTATAAGTTGACAGAGACTTATGCTCACCCATAGGCTTAATAGCAATTCTATGTGCTTTCGATTTTTCCTTGCCTTGCCTACCTACCCCTCTGTTACCTTGTGCCCATCCATGTTCTTAATCTGTCGATCACTGCTGTGGTTTGCATTTGCATGCAGAAGAAAGAGGCATCTTTCCTGAAAGAAACCTCACCCTATCAGCCCAGAACCAAGAACTGGCCTTGTCATACGTCCTCCTTGCAGAGAGGAGAGGAAGTTTTTCTCTGAATAAGACAATATGAGCAAGCACACATGACACACTTTCTGGATTTCATGAAGTATCTGTTGAAGAAAAAAAAATGAATAAAACTTTCATTGTTTTTGGTCACTATGGTTTCCTTCTCTATAAGGTTGAAAGTTCCATCCAGGTGTGGCCACTTTCTTCAGCCACAAGAGAGGAAGCCCTGAGCTATCCTGAAAACACAGTCTGCTCACCTAGGAAAGACTTTCTGATTAGGGACTGAGCCCCAAGTAAAGGTCAGACCTGTGGTGGAAAGAAAAACTGTATTGACCCCATCCAGGGCCTGTGTTTAGCCATTCTACTCACCCAGAACCAGTAGTGTCACCCACGGCAGCATGAAGACGTGGATCACTCAGGGCTGAGACCCAAAGAGATGTTTCCTCAGGATAACAGGTTTGGTCTTGTTCCTACAATCAGTACACAGCCCACCAGCTCCAAGGAGCACATCTGATAAACTGCTCCTTTAAAAAGAGCAAAAGGCATTAGTGAATTAGAAAAAGGAAGTGGGAGTACCCAGTTCTAACTACTAATCAAAGTTTCCTGCCCTATGATCAAAGTGAGAAAAAAAAGATTAGGGTTTTTAAAAATCACATACCCTTGACCTCACATTTCTGCTTTTGGGAAATTACCTTAAGGGAAGCATGTGAAGATAGTTCTATATGAGCATCTATTGTAGCATTCATTATTGCTTAAACCCTGGAAGCCATTTCATATCCTTTTAATAATATTGTGATATCATTAATTTTTTTCTAGATTTATACTGGTATATAGAAATACAATCTTTTTTGGTATATTGACTTTTTTAATGGCTACTTAGATTGCTGAATTCACTTATCGGTTCTAATAGTTTATCTTTAGGTTATTTTAGATTTTATGCATATACAATCATATAATAATGGTTTTATTCATTATTTTTAATACTTAAGCATTTTCCCCCAACTTATTACAATGAGTAGGAGCGCCACCATGATGCTGAAGAGAAGTGGTCCCATCAGGTATCCTTTCTTAGTCTCATAGGAAAAGTTCTTGGTATTTCATGGAGTTGAGGACAATCATACTTAGTGATCTATCACAGAAAGAAAAGAATCAAATACTACATGTCCCCACTCATATGTGAGACCTGAACATTAACCACAATAATGCAAGGGAGAGACCAACAGTAATGAGACACTGCCAAGGGTAATTATTGATTTGGTTTTTAAAACCCCAAAGAGATTATTCAGAGATTTTATTTCTTCTTGTGTCAGTTTTTGATATGTTGTATATTTTTAAGAATTTGTTCATCTATATTTCTAAATCTATTTTATAACTTATGTATAATGCTCTCATATTATGTTTTAATATCTGTGAGATCTTTAGTAATGTTCTTTACTTTACATTCCTAATATTGATAATTTTCTCTTTCTCATTCTCTTTTTATATTCTTGATTGATCTCTATAGGGATTCATCAATTGAATTTATTTCATTAATTTCTGCTCTTTAATATTTTCTTCTTTCTTCCTTTCAAAATGTAGCTTGCTTTTTAAAAATTTCTTACATGAATACGTACATCTTTGATTTTTAATCTTTTTTATTTTCTAATATGTGTACTTATATTATACATTTTTGCCTAAGTGTGGCTTTAGCTGCAATGCATGCGTTTTGCTATGTAATAGTTTTGCAATCATTTTGTTCAAAATATTATGTAATTTTGGTGAACAGTGGCCAATAAATAGTTTAAATTCCTTTTAAAAATATTATGTAATTTCCATGAGAATTTTGTGTCCCATGGATTATTTTGAAGTGTATTGTTTCTTTTCCTAACATTTAGAGATTGTCTTTTTTTTTTTTTTTTTTTTTTTTTTTTTGAGTTGGAGTCTCACTCTGTCACCCAGACTGGAATGCAGTGGCCGCTCTTGGCCACTGCAGCCACGACTTGCTGGGCTCCAGTAATCCTTTCACCTCAGCCTTCCAAGTAGCCAGAACTACAGGTGCGCGCTACCACGCCCGGCTAATTTTTTTGATTTATCGCAGATGAGGTCTCACCAATTTGCCCAGGCGGGTCTCAAACCTGCGAGCTCAGGCAATTCATTCACCTCGGCCTCTCAAAGCGCGGGATTACAGTCTGAGCCACCGAGCCCGACTGAGATTGTCTTTTTTGTTATTAATCTCTAGTTTAGTTCCACTGTGGTTGAAGAACATATTTTATGTTTTAATCTCTTGAAATTTGTTGAAATTTGCTTATGAACTAGTATACAGTCAAGTTTTATAAATATTCTGTGTTTTCTTTAAAACAATGTAAATTATGAAAATGTTGGTACAGTATTTCATTTTTGTCAGTTTCACTCTTGTATATTCTATGATGTATTATTCAAATATTCTATACTTTTACTATTTTTTCTAATATTCAGCTCCAAGAGAATTATGTTAAGATTTCCCATTATAATCGTGAATGTGTCTATTTCTTCTTTTATTTCTGTGTGTTTTTGTTGCATATTTTGCAGTTATTTTAAGAAGTGTATACACATTGAGAATTGCTTTTTCCTGGTAGCTTGAAACATATTATTATTAAATATTCCTCTTTATCTGTTTCTTGCCTCAAAGCACCATTGGAGGAGTCTCATCTACATTTGATTTAGGTGGTTGGGTGCTCTACTTTAAATCTGGATGTGATACTGTATTTGGATGAATCTTTGGGAATCTTTGGAGGTGGTAATTTTATTTTTTATGCAAGAAGGAAGTAAATATTTGTGGCCAGAGAATGGACTGTCACCTAAGAAGGCAGCAAACATTTCCTTGTATGTGCATGTTGTTTCTCCCATCAGGAAGTAAAGTTTCTTACCATTTAATATAGCTGGCCCTTTGACTTGCTTTGACCTATAGAATGTGGCAAAAGTGAATCTGTGCAAATTTGGGGCCCAGCCCTTAAGAGGACTGGTAATGTCTGTCTTGTGTTCCCTCGGAGCCCTGAATTACCATGTAAGAAGTCTAACTGTTCTATTGGAAAGAGAGTCCCTGCCAGCCCTAGCTGTTCTAGCCATCCCAGCCAGATAAGACACAAAACATGCCGGGCTCGGTGGCTCAGCCTGTAATCCCAGCACTTTGGGAGGCCGAGGTGAGTGGATTGCCTGAGCCCGCGGGTTCGAGACCCGCCTGGGCAACTTGGCAAGACCTCATCTCTATAATAAATCAAAAAATCAGCGGGGCATGGTAGTGCGCGCCTGTAGTTCCAGCTACTTGGAAGGCTAAGGTGGAAGGATCGCCAGAGCCCAGCAGGTCGAGGCTGCGGTGGCCATTGCACTCCAGTCTGGGAGACAGAGTGAGACTCCAACTCAAAAAAAAAAAAAAAAAGACACAAGACATGTGTCTTAGCTATTTCAGGTGTTCTATTCCCACCTCAGCTGTATTCCTTGATGAATGAAACCACATGAATGACCCTCAGCTAACTCAGGTGACTAGTTAGCAGGGTCAACTCACAGAACCATTGTTGTTTTAAGCCACAGGTTTTGGTGTGGTTTTTAATGCAACAATTGGTCACTGAGATGGACTTATTCTATCTTCCTTGGGAATATTGTTTTTGATCAAGTAATAATTCATCTGTCTCTAATAAAGCCTTTGTCTTAAATTTTATTTTTCTTATTAGATTAAGCTTGTTAATCATGTTATGCAAATCCACATCCTTTCTAATTTTAGTCTACCTCAGCTCTTGACTTCTTTGATGGTGTGGCTTCTGCACACTTTAACGTTACCTCATTTTCTCCATTTTTATAATGTTTTATTTCCTTTGACTATTGTTTAACGATTGGTACTACATGGCAGAGACATTTACTGCTCACTGAATAACCATATGTTCCACATTTCCCAGATTCCCTATAGTAACCTTAAATATTTAAATTACTATCTAGCAAAAAGTAAAAACAGATGAATAGTCCATTTGAGAACCTAGAAAAACAAAACAATGTCTAAGAAAAGCAGGTATCTATAAATTAGAAAACAAAAAACAGAACTGATAATTAAAGTGCTGATTCTTTTGAAATAAACGAATACCAAGACATTTTTAAAAAACAGAATTGTTCTAGGGCAAGACAGATAATCTAGACAGACGGATTATCATAGTAGAGATTCAGACAGTTGCCAAGGAACAAACTTATAAAAAAAAATCATTGCAAGATAGTTTCACAGCTACATATTTCTAACTTTCAAAGAATGGATAATTGCAAAGTGACTTAAGTGGTCCTAAAACGCAAAAGTAATTAAAAATAGAAGAATCCTTTAATATATCTCAAGTCAAAAGTCAGATTTACATTTAATGAAGAACACTAAAATAGTATTAATAGGAAATAAGTAGACATTGTCAAGTCAAGAAAGAAAGCCACAAGAACACTAGAGTTACAGAGTTACCCACTAGGATAACTGAAAACAACCTATAATCCTTTCAAACTGTGAGGACTAAAATTGAGCAGTTGTCAGGATTATACTCACACAGGCTCCGCATTCCCTCCACCTTGCCTTCTGGATGAGGGGTTACTGATTTGGCACTTCTGGGCCTTACCCCTTCTTTTGGAGAACTTGAAAACTTCCTGTGGGTTTGTGTAAGGGTATGTGTTTGCTGTTAGCTTCTCCTTCCCTTAGCTTAGTCTGAATTCCACTGCAGTTAGAAGCTGTTCTTCAGAATTTATAAGTTGGAGAAGTGGCTATTCAAAAGTTTCACTGAAAATGGAGTTTCATTTTTTATTTTTACTTTTGGTAATTTGTGGTTGGTTTCAGAAAGTAAAATGTAGTATATAAGTTTTATTCTGAACTGGCATAAGAGATCTGTATCCCAATAATCATTGCCATCTCTTAGAAGATAACTATAATATAGCATCACAACAAGCACCTTGTTAATATTATTTAATCCTTCTATCAACACTAAAACAGTTAAACTGTGAAGAAACACAGGCAGTGTTCTGTCGGGCAGGTCATGTCATCCTCATTTTATAGACAAGGAAAAGCAAGGCTTAAAGAAATTTAATTTCAAGTACCTTGTAAGCCAAAAAACTCACAGACAATGAGTGGTAGAGCCAAGATTGGAACCCATATCTGTCTGAGCCTGAGACCGAGCCTGACAAATTCAAGCAAGAAATTTAACAGTCACAGGCAACCGGGTGCAATGGTGCAACCACCTGTGGTCCCAGCTACTTGGGAGGCTGAGGCGGGAGGATTGCTTGAGCCCAGGAGTTTGATGCAATTGTACTCCAGCCTGGTTGACAGAGACTCCATCTCTAAAAACAAACAAACAAAACAGTCACAGGCATTTGGACAGTAATCTAGACGTAATACCATCCTAAAGCCAGCTACGTGTAGCAGTAAGGTGT